CCCCCCCCCCCCAGCCACTCAAACGCAAAAACGAACTTCCTGAACAGCCATCAAATGTCAAAGATGCTCAGGGTTGTAACCCTCCAAACTCTTTTAACATTGATGCCTATAAGCCTATTGGCTTTGAAGCTTCATTCCTTAAATTTATACAAGACACTAATCCAAAAGACAAAAATACGACCAAACGCAAGGACGCTTTCAGACGCAGTTGTTCAGTTAAGGAAAATAACCAGATGGGGATATCACACACCCGCAACAAACGCACATACTCCCCCTTGCCTAAGCCCCATATCTCCACTAGAATCCAAAACTTGAAGTCCATCTTGGACAAAGCTCTGGCTGGGTGTGGGGATCTGGCCATCAAGCAGCTTCAGTACCTCAGGCCTGTAGTTGTCCTAGGGAGGCCTGTAAGCCCCACTACCACCTTGTCAGATCTTTTCCCCTCAGACAACAGCAACAAATTACTTCTTGGAAGTTAGTTTGACAAAGCACCTTTGTAAAGTAACTTTTACAGTTTATTGTGTATTTTTACAAACTGTAACAGTATTTTGGTTTTGTTGTCCAAAAAAAGTTTTTTCTTTATTCTTTACGTTGCCAAATTGAATTACTATAAAAAAATAGCATTAGATCAGTTTGAAATGTGCTTTTTAGATTTAAGAGGATTGTTTTCAGACCTGTTATGAAGGCCTCCAGTTCACAGCTGTTTATTAACCTGTCACCCTTTGTTTGTGTATATACTGTAATGTACAGATTTTCAGATTGTCAGGAATGGTCATTACCTATTGAAAAGCCTTTTTACTTACTCACTAAAATGTGACTGAAAACCATTCCCTTACTACTAAGAGTCTGAGTGATATGATTGGTTGTTTTTCACATTAGTTTATATTTATCTGTGTTGGGAAGCAATGGACAGGTTTTCTCAGATGTGTATGTAACACTTTAATAAAATAAATCAAATTCTGAAAGCCATTTGATTTAAACTTGTGTAATTGATTTGTGCACTTCCTAAAAGGGAAGTTGATTGGAGCTCAGCAGGTAGGTAGCCTTTTTTCTGAAATGGATTGAGGTTAGCTGCATGACAGTGTATGTGCATTTTTTATGACATACATTTTTGTTGATGTGATCAGTGGTTATTAGGAGTGTGTCTAGAAGTAGCAACATGATAGTCCTACTAGCGTACAAAGCTATCATGTTTTCACTTTTGGCTAATTTTGGGCTAACCACGTGTAACCGGTATAGCCTCTGCGTTGTGTTGACTTCCATGAAAAGAACCAATTATTTACTGCAAAATTGCTAATGGAAGTAAAATGCACAAAAAGTACACCTAAATTGTGTACAGACTACTTCCAAGGGTTTCTTATTCCCTAAAATAGCCCTTATATTACGGCTATGTCCATTATGTTAACAAAATTGTTTCTAATGGCATACAGCCTCAGTGCTTTAATGTCACATCCAGCAGTATTTTGTGTTTTACCACCAGACTAGTTAGCTGCAACTCATCCTTCCTTGGAAAGTCAAAGCCTTTGTGCTGTTTTTAATCCAACAATTAATGTACCTATGACTGAGATGTGTTTTGCCTAGATAAAGGTTGGTATTTCAGAACTCCTCAAACTATTTTGCAAATAAACATTAAATTTGACAATCATCTCAGCATTGTAGGCAAGTAAATGCTAGAAACTACTACTAACTGAAACAAACAAAAACGTTTCCATGTTAACTGGGGCTTGAGTCATTTTATGGACTGCATATTTTGGTTTTAGTATATTTCATTATGTGTATAATTCATGTGAACATGATTAGCACACAGTAATTATGAACAAGTAATGCGGTTGCTTGAGTACTATATTTTTAACGTAAGTAGACATAACACACGGATGATATTAACGTCTTAGATTAAAAATGAGGAAGTGTTCTTCCTGTAACCATCACTTAATTTCTGCTTTTTCTGTCAGCATTCGATTTTTTTAATGTTGTCCATATTTAATAAGAATTCAATCTTTTGTTCATTAAAGCATTAAATGTATTTCGAGTATTTGTAAACGATTCTCAGCGACACAACTGAGAACATACCACTTATTTGACTTGAGCGAATACTTAGACCCGGAACTGACGTTATAGTAGGTGTTTCTAAAGGGGTAGAGTTCCTAGTTACACTTCGCCGACAGGCTCGCAAATTCTAGCTTGAATGGAAAGATATTAGCTGTAAAAGCCTCGAATTATGATGGAAGCTAGATGCAGACGTTTTGCGGCTTAATGTTAGTCCGTATCTGTTAATTTAACGAGAGGAGACGCTCCCCGTTATTTAGCTTAAGGGTGTTTCTGTTTGTTTTCTGTCAGAGCAGGAGCTAAGCAGCAGTTAGCCCGAAGCTACACCAGTGCAGCGAGTTAACGTTACCGTGGACGTTAGCCTGACGATCCATCTATTCATCTCTGCTCCATTCACCACACAGCAAACATGGTTGGGACTATATTTGACCTACCAGTGGAACTGCAGATATTCTACGCTGTATTAGGATTTTCATGGACAGTTTATCTTTGGGAGGCGTATCTCTCTTACAGACAGGTGAGATTGTCATGCACTCTTATGAACGGTGTTTAGAGTTTTGGGCCATAGAATGTGATGGGCTACAATAAGTTGATTCAGTGTAACAGTCTTTTGTAACAGCCGTTATGTCAGTTAAAATATATAAACTCTTCTATTTCCGGTTCGAGTTCTCTTTTTTTCATGTTTGTTCAATAATGGGTACACTAACGATTGATATAGGCTTGATAGATTAAGACAAAAGGATTACAGATGTGAAGTAAGTAAGTAATATGTGGTTGGTATTATTGGTATAAGAATAGACATGAAAAACAATAATACCATAAAGTAGTAAAAAAAAAATTATATTTATTTTATTTTAATTACATGATTGTGTGACACTGTACATAATACTGACAAACATTTTTGCTGATGTTTCTGCCGAACAGCGGAGGATATACAGATCAACCACACATGTACCACATGAGCTCGGAAAGATCATGGATTCTGCAACTTTTGAAAAATCACGTCTTTATCAGCTGGATAAAAGCAACTTCAGCTTTTGGTCTGGACTCTACTCAGAGATTGAGGGAACGGTAAGACCATTTGACAGGTTCACTGTTTAAAGCAGAAATGTCATATATACATGAACTGTCATCAGAATGATGTGTATTCGTCACATAATTAAGTCACATGACCTTATCATTATTTCTAGATGATCCTGCTCTTGGGAGGAATCCCGTTTCTGTGGGCCTTCGCTGGTTCTGTGACAAATCGTTTTGGATTTGGCTCAGAGTATGAGATCACCCAGTCCCTCGTGTTTCTGACGCTTGCCACCCTGTTCAGTGCCTTGACTGGTCTTCCCTGGAGTTTGTACAATACGTTTGTCATCGAGGAGAAGCATGGATTTAATCAGCAGGTATGATGACTGAGGTTCTAACTCTCTGTCAAACTCAGATTCAACTGACTGTTGCTACTTTCATGCTTGATAGCCAACAGATATTCAGATAAAGATCTGACGCACGATTAACCTTTTCAGTTGCCAAAACTGTTATGCCGTGTTTTATTTTAGAGACCAGGTTTGACAAACAGTGATTGTTTGCACAGGGATTAATTAATTTTAAGATTGGCAAAGACTGAATAATTGCTGCTGGGTTTATTCAAAATGTTTTATGATTATACAATACTTTGCAAATAAATCATAATTCATTAGACTACTAACCACATTGAAGTTTTTGATGACAGTTGTCATGGTTGTATTCCTCTACATCTGATCATCTACTTTTCCCCCTCAGACTTTGGGATTCTTCCTTAGAGATGCTGTGAAGAAGTTTGTTGTGACCCAGTGCATCCTGCTGCCTGTGACCTCATTGCTCCTGTACATCATCAAGATTGGTGGAGACTACTTTTTCATCTATGCCTGGCTCTTTACTCTGGCTGTGTCTCTGGTGAGTGGAACAATCTTTTTGTCAGTATGGGAGAAAGTGATCAGATGGATTCCTTGTGTCTTCAGATGTCACTGTTTAATCAACACCAGAAAGTAAAAAAAAACTCAGACTCAAGAATAAAGTCCTTCTTCCAATAGAATCGTTTTATCAGTATGTGCCGTTTGTTTTGCATTTGGTACAAGCATTAATAGTAGTCACCAGGAGAAATACTATGCTACAAACTGAGTTCAGAACCTATAACATGTCAAGTATGACAGTTCTGTTTAGTTTATACCAACAGGAGCAGCTATCTTGGTTGCCTGTCTTGGTAAATGCTAAGTGAGCAGAGCTTAGAGTGCCCCTGCTGGAGCTCATGGAAACTTTCTATGGCCGTGTAAGCCAAGGTGTACTCGTATTTGATTTAAATCCCCCAATTCCAGCTTTTTACTGCAATACTAGAAAGTTTTACAATTATAAAGTTATTATACAATTATTCAGACTTGAAGTGAAAAAGAAATGTAGCTACAGTAGTGGTCACTCTGTACTTGTGCTGTAGTTATGAGGTGCTGATGGTTAAACTGTGTATTTTCTGTCCTCCTGTGTTTGCAGATACTCGTCACCATCTATGCTGATTACATCGCTCCGCTGTTTGACAAGTTCACTGTGTTGCCCGAGGGAAATCTGAAGACTGACATTGAGGCGATGGCCAAGAGCATAAACTTCCCGCTCACTAAGATCTATGTTGTTGAAGGTAATGCAACATATTTTTCCTGTTGATACATGCATTCAAACGTATGAATCATTTCTACACCTTAATATAAAGAGGCAGCAGACCTTTCTCTGATAAATGTCCTCTGCATTTTAGGTTCCAAGCGCTCGTCACACAGCAATGCATACTTTTACGGGTTCTTCAAGAACAAGCGCATAGTGCTGTTTGACACGTTGCTGGAAGACTTCTCACCTTTAAATAAGAACATAGAGCCGCAGCCTGACCAGCCAGAGAGTGAGGATACAAACGGTGAACCTAAAGCCAGACCCAAGGTCAGTATGCCATGAAGGTCATCCAGACTTAGTGTGTGTGTGATTAGGATCATAGGAATATTTAAACTTGGGTTAACGTGTTTTTTGCTATGCATTCTTCCCATTTTGAGATCACAAGACAAAAACAATTACATACATAGTGTAATCTATGGTGCTAGTTATGGTAATGGTAGTGATTAATTGCCTTTTTTTGCCTCCTCTACAGATCAAGAAACAAGGCTGCAACAATTCAGAGATCCTGGCTGTCCTCGGTCATGAACTTGGTCACTGGAAACTTGGCCACACCATTAAAAACATCATCATCAGTCAGGTCAGAGTTTGTTTTTTTTCTGTTGTCATAAAGTCTGTAGGTCCAAAGTGAGTTGCATTGACACATTATGGGAATAATGGACATTGTCCCACCCTGTTGCATAAGCCACTCTCCTCACAGTGGGTTTTTACTCAGAGGTGTCTTTCCTTTTAAAAGTGCATCTACCTATTGATTGACAAGCTGTCTCCACACATTACTAAAATGGAAAACATCTATAGCCAAAAAACATGGAAATAAATATACACCCAGCAATGTCAATCAGCCTAGACACAAATATATTGTGATATTGTAGTTTTCTTGCATTAAAGAAATGAAGTGCTTTACAATTTAAGTCAAATATGGGTTAATAGTGACTTAACCTTTGTTTTTTTTTACAGATGAATTCCTTCCTCTGCTTCTTTCTTTTTGCTGCTTTGATTGGACGCAAGGAGTTGTTTGAAGCTTTCGGCTTCAATGCCAGCCAACCCACATTAATAGGCTTGATGATTATCTTTCAGTTCATCTTCTCTCCGTACAACGAGGTAACTCAGGAAGTCCATACATCCATCAAATGCATTGAGAATGTTAAGTTTAGAAGATCTAGATCGTTGTAAATTTATTTTTTGTGTTTTGTCTCTGCAGCTCCTGTCCTTCTGTCTAACAGTTTTGAGTCGCAGGTTCGAGTTCCAGGCAGATGAATTTGCATTACGTATGGGCAAAGCCTCCGAGCTCTACTCAGCTCTCATCAAGCTCAATAAGGACAACCTGGGCTTCCCTGTGGCCGATTGGTTGTTCTCCATGTGGCACTATTCCCACCCTCCCCTCCTGGAGCGCCTTAGAGCGCTCGGCAACGAAAAGCAGGACTGACGGGGCTGGAAGGGGGAGTGGCGTTCTCTACGTCCTCCTCCCAAGGGCCTCTGAAAACCGCTCCTGGCCCTGTAATGCACCCCTGTCTCTCTTTTGTTTTTTTTAACCCACCGTCACCGCCCCTTATTGTTTTATCTGGATTTTAGTTTGTTTTCTTGATTTGCCGTCTTTCTATTTTGTTCCCTTTCTAGTTTGTATTAAACAAAACCAAAACATATCAGCACAAGGCAGCCGGGCGATATCAAAATCTTTTAGTGACGACCGCTCCTTTTCTAGACACACTTAACAGGTTGGAGGGACACATTTGGTCATTGTGTGTTTTAGGAAACCATCATCAAAGCACAGATTTCATTGTGGATAGTTTTTGAAATGATAGCTGTGGAGATCTGAAAAGGAAAAGAAGAACAGATTACAAATCCTTGACTTCACTTTCACAGTTCAGTGATAGTATAAGGCAGTCATTGAAGTAAATATTTTATCTTGCAGTGTAATGTCATACACACCGATAAATATTAAACACGTGACTTATTAGAAAATTTGTAACGATACATTTGGCCCATTCACAGACTGATAATTCCATTTGGTTTTTTTTAAGTTATTTTTTAATTTTTTGTATTTTTTTATTTAATTTTAATCCATTCCCCCTGGGCGAGCTAAAGAGAGTACATGTTCAGTCATTAAATTCCCGGCTTTGCCAGAGGACCGTCGTAAATGCTTTATTACACTTGAAAAGAAAGTGAGTGCCTCTAATGATTGCTGTTTGTTCAGATGATTGAAATATAATGAACTGAGCAGTGCAGAAAATTTAATTTGACATTAAGTTAGACTTCGTGGATTAGGGGTGTTGTTTTACTTTTTTTGTTTTTTACAGCACTTGCTCGCCCGACAAGGGCGCAACATACCTGTATATATGTAACTTTGATGAGTAGACTATTGACCTATGGAGTTAATTGTTTAAAAATGTGGATTGAAACTTTAAGTTGCTATGATGTTTTTTAGTTTCTTCTCTTGAATATTGGGCTGGAGAGAGTGCAGGGCTGCCTGGAAAACAAAGTTTCCTTGGGCGACATTGGGGAGGGGGAGTGCAGACCTTCTATCACAACGAGTGATTGGTTTAAAGAGGGAATTGTGTACTTTGTTTGCAGCATTGAATAAATTCCTTCAAAGCAGTTGTGATATTGTATAAGCCTATCATTTTATATTAAATTATTGGGATGTCCTTAACACGCTGGTTTAAACACTTTTTCACTATCAATTTATTGTAACTTTTGCCTAAATAGGGGAGTAATCTGAAGGGGAAGAAAACTGTGGAACAGATTAATAATGATTATATATTTAAATATAATTGCAAATTTTAAAGGTTTACTCTGAAAGATTCTGTTGAGGCTAGTGTAAGATTCATAAGTGTTTTTTGTTTGTTTTTTTGTTCATCCTTCCTATCAACAATTGGATATACCTATGTTAGCCTTCAATTATTACTTAAAACAAAAATGTTTAAAAGACAAATTATTTGTTTGCACATAATACTATATTTGACTAAATACACGTCAATAAAGTTAATATATTTTATATTACATCCTGTATATGTCATTTGAAGGGATTTTATCTTGATTTTTACTGGTGTATCTTTTATTTATTTTTTAAACATTGTGTTTTAATTCTCATTGGTCATGGTGTTCACAAACAGGTTATTTATATGCACACACTTCCTCGAAAATACATTAAAATACGTTATTACATCCGCCATATTTGCTTTAAACATTATTTGTTATCTAATCTGTATTTTTAATGTTTCTCAGTAATAGTCCATCTTAATTGGTTATGCCAGATTAATAAATAAAATACAAATAATAAATTATTAATAACCAATTCATATTTGTTAATAACACGCAATAAAACGACGTCAAATATCGACGTAAGGTCATGAACGTAGTGAACGTGAGGTAAAGCGTGTGGCCATCTTTGGGAACGTACCATTGTCAAAAAGGCACATCGTGATACATTATATTCCTTTTATCTTAGAAACCACGTTCATCTATTAAAATACACATTCTACAGCACAATAAAGGTAATAACTATATGTTTACACAAATTATCCTGAACTCTATTTCCCACCGTTGCCGCTTGCGTTTTATGTCGTCAGAGGTCGTCACCCCCGTTTTTGCTGTAATGGCGCCGCCCTGTGGCGTTGTGTCGTTGTGAACAAGGACAGTCCTCAGTGTTAGCGCTGTTAATAAAAAAAATAGAGTCATGGCGAGGTTTTTGAGGCCCAGCATAAGAAGTTTCATCACCTCACAGCTGAGAATGTCATCTGACCAGGTAGAATATGTCACACACAACATCCAGACGATTTTAATACAATTTTGTAATCGTTTTGCCGCTGTGCTAATCATTTAAAATTTCAATGGCGCAGTGGCTCTGAGAATTACCTGTTGTAGGTCAAACGTGTCAGTTATAATATTTTGTGTTTTATTACATATATAAATACTCATTGAAAAATACTCGATATGATTTAATGCCAACACCTGTCTCTTGTCCCAAGGTTAGTCCAGTGCACTTGTATTTTTGTTTCAAATATGTTTCTGGTAACTTCTGGTCAAGTATTGTCTCTGTTTTCACCTGACAACAAAGACGTTCTGTCCCCTCCACCGTGAAACATAAGTATCTCTTGACCTTCTATATAGGCTTGTTTAGAAAAAAAGGAGACAGTTAAGTATAAGTATAGCAGTTAAATATGTATATGTCTGAAAACATATATGTGTAAATAATATAAAATGTAAATAATTTGAATTCAAAATGCTAGGTTAAGTATACAGAAAGTTTGACAGTGTTTCCAAATTCAAACCCTGGGGGAGAGTGGGGGAGTGGGGGAATTTGGGAAAGTTAACATCCATAAGTAGAGTGCAAGGATACAGTATTATGGTGCTACATAAATTTAAACTCTGTTTAATCATATTTCTAAGAATCTCTTAGAACTGCTATGGAGACACAGCCCTTTGGAGCTGACTGAAGTGACAGATCTGATATCTGTCCATTGGAAAAGTTGGTGTTGTGACAGAAGTATTGTCTTTTGCTCCTGCCCCAACCCTCAATGAAACTGTATTTTCACCTAGCATTGCTTAATTTCAATTACTTGAGCAGAGTCTACACTCTATGGGTTTTTTTTTTCTACCAAATACTTGTGTAGTCTACATGCAGATTAAAGATTAAAAGAGAAACTAAAAGCAGAGGCTGACCAAAGTGACCACTGTGAAGGTGATTGCCTGTATGATGCTGTGGTTTAATTTTATATATAAATACCTACATTCAAAAACATGATATTTCTTTGTTTTGCTCTAAACGTTTCTCTTTTCACTCAGCTGGGAGAGCTGGGTAAAGGTGCAGGAAAGGGTGGTGGAGGTGGAGGTTCCATCAGAGAGGCAGGTGGATCCATGGGAAAAAAGCAGGCCGCCGAGGAAGAGATGTACTTCAAGTATGTATTCACAATTGCACAATTATATTTTGAATGAGTTGTATCATTTTCTCTCTGTGTATGAGTTTAATCCATTGTTTTGCACTTGTTCTGCACTTCCTCTGTTTCTGTGTCTTATTTGTTTCCACACAAAGACGTAAGGAGCAGGAACAGCTGGCGGCACTGAAGCAGCACCACCAGGACGAGATAGATCATCAAAAAAAGGAGATTGAACGCCTACAGCGTGAGATCGATCGCCACAAGGGGAAGATCAGGAAGCTGAAGCATGATGACTGAGTGTGGCCCACCCTAAAAATAAGTTCATTTTCTGACACTTAATGTCAGACACCTTTGATGAAGAAAAACTTCACCACTATTGTGTCACTGGGCCAGTCATCAATCTTTTTGACTGTCTTAACAACACTTGAAAGTTATAAATTAAAGCTAAAAATGTGTTTCTGCTGCATGCTGTGACTTATGTTGTGCACTGTTTTTGGTTGAATCCAGGTTTATACCTGAGCAGTTCGCTGTATGATGCAGGTAAAAGGCAAAACAGTGTCCACTACTTTTTGTTCCAGGTTTTTCTCCCAATGGCATTGGTCCAAACTGTACTGCAGTCAGAAATAAATAGATTTTTTTGAAAGCAACATATTGATGTGTGAACACTCCTTTGCCTTTACCCATCATCCATTTTTGCATGGCCCTTTGCACACATTTTCTATAAAGCCTGTGGAACATCGTAATAATTTTAATTATCTTTATGAACGAATTTAATCTATTTGTGCTACATAATTAAATTTGTAACACAATTGCCAATGTTAGGTCCGTTATTTTATTACAATTCATTTTTCAAAAATACATGTCAAGCTTAACAAATGGAGAGATTTATTATCTTTACAACTTTGCCTGTTGACCAGCCAGCAAGTGTAGTCTACATGCAGATTAAAGATTAGAAGAGAAACTAAAAGCAGAGGCTGACCAAAGTGACCACTGTGAAGGTGATTGCCTGTATGATGCTGTGGTTTAATTTTATATATAAATACCTACATTCAAAAACATGATATTTCTTTGTCTTGCTCTAAACGTTTCTCTTTTCACTCAGCTGGGAGAGCTGGGTAAAGGTGCAGGAAAGGGTGGTGGAGGTGGAGGTTCCATCAGAGAGGCAGGTGGATCCATGGGAAAAAAGCAGGCCGCCGAGGAAGAGATGTACTTCAAGTATGTATTCACAATTGCACAATTATATTTTGAATGAGTTGTATCATTTTCTCTCTGTGTATGAGTTTAATCCATTGTTTTGCACTTGTTCTGCACTTCCTCTGTTTCTGTGTCTTATTTGTTTCCACACAAAGACGTAAGGAGCAGGAACAGCTGGCGGCACTGAAGCAGCACCACCAGGACGAGATAGATCATCAAAAAAAGGAGATTGAACGCCTACAGCGTGAGATCGATCGCCACAAGGGGAAGATCAGGAAGCTGAAGCATGATGACTGAGTGTGGCCCACCCTAAAAATAAGTTCATTTTCTGACACTTAATGTCAGACACCTTTGATGAAGAAAAACTTCACCACTATTGTGTCACTGGGCCAGTCATCAATCTTTTTGACTGTCTTAACAACACTTGAAAGTTATAAATTAAAGCTAAAAATGTGTTTCTGCTGCATGCTGTGACTTATGTTGTGCACTGTTTTTGGTTGAATCCAGGTTTATACCTGAGCAGTTCGCTGTATGATGCAGGTAAAAGGCAAAACAGTGTCCACTACTTTTTGTTCCAGGTTTTTCTCCCAATGGCATTGGTCCAAACTGTACTGCAGTCAGAAATAAATAGATTTTTTTGAAAGCAACATATTGATGTGTGAACACTCCTTTGCCTTTACCCATCATCCATTTTTGCATGGCCCTTTGCACACATTTTCTATAAAGCCTGTGGAACATCGTAATAATTTTAATTATCTTTATGAACGAATTTAATCTATTTGTGCTACATAATTAAATTTGTAACACAATTGCCAATGTTAGGTCCGTTATTTTATTACAATTCATTTTTCAAAAATACATGTCAAGCTTAACAAATGGAGAGATTTATTATCTTTACAACTTTGCCTGTTGACCAGCCAGCAAGTGATTACCATGAAACAGATTTGTAATGACAAAACTGTTTTTTACATATAGGCACTTTTGTTAAAGCAAAATATAAAAGAAGAACTATTGTATATTGGTGATCTGTAAAGACAAAAAAACAACACATCTGAAATTGAATATTAATAATACCTCAGATAACTGAGGGCTTGTCAGTTAATGAGTTGTTGGCATTTTTAATGAAGAATGGAGGTCACACTGGATTGACCATATGACTCATCAAACATGTAGCCCTCATTCACTCAGTGTTATCTGGGACTGGATCCAGCTCCCTTACATGCCCCAAAACAAAACAAATTGTATAAAAAGAAGAAAAAAGATGACTTAAAAAAAACTCATTCATTTGACTTTAAATTTAATGCTTAATTTTACAACAAATCTATTTTTATATTAAAAATAAATACATAAAATCATTATAAACTCGCGTTCTTCCTTGGCACACACATCGTCATTTCCGCCTGCCCCTGCTTCTTAGAGCGGGCAGCCCCGTGTCTCTTTCTTTTCGCACATCATGGCGGACCGGTTCAATAAGGTATGGAACCGCTGCGAATGTTCTTTTCTTATTTTGGTATATTACCGTGAGTTAGGGCTGTGTGTGTTGTCATTTTGCGTGCGCCAACTGTAAATGTAACGTTTTGAATTGTAGAGAAAGTTTTTTGTTTGACTTACAGATGAACTTTCAAAGCATTTCGAGGCAGCTAGCAGTAGCTGCACAGACATGCCTTCATCATGGCAGCTTCCCTGTCGAGTTAACGTTGTCGGCTTGCTAGCTTATATTTCGGGCCTCACGTTGTTTTACCTGACTCCTAAAACAAATACTTAACTTTCAGGCAGTGGTATATTGCTAACGCTACTCTTTGGATTTTATCACGCTTTCGCAGTGTCCAAATTATTTAACTCACGGATAACGTGATCATACGTTGACGTTGCTAAGCTAGTCATGCAGCCTAACCGTTGGGCTATCAGACTCCATGCGTTCGTTTTATTAGGCAAGTTCCACAGTTTGCGTTAACTTTACAAGTCGTTACACTGACTTTGTTTGTATATAACGCTTACTTCGTTTTATCCATAGGTTCTGCTGCTGGATGGCAGGGGCCATCTACTCGGTCGGCTTGCTGCCCTTGTGGCTAAACAGGTCCTCCTGGGTAAGTTGATTTTCCGTCGTCTGTTAATCATACAATCTGAATTAATCAGCGAGCCATGTGGCTGCACTATACACCTTTAATCTGTCAGTGATGCTAATAGTTATGATCGAGTTTCACAGCCATGAGAAAACTCACATGCACTACCATCTGAGGCAGGATAAATGTTTACATAACTTCCTATTTATTTCCCTGAAATTAAATAAATGTATATTCTATGCAGGACACAAAGTGGTGGTTGTGAGATGTGAAGGCATTCTAATCTCTGGCAACTTCTACCGCAACAAGCGTGAGTAAAGTTTCTCTATGGTACTTTTTTTCTTTAATCTGTCAGTGATGCTAATAGTTATGATCGAGTTTCACAGCCATGAGAAAACTCACATGCACTACCATCTGAGGCAGGATAAATGTTTACATAACTTCCTATTTATTTCCCTGAAATTAAATAAATGTATATTCTATGCAGGACACAAAGTGGTGGTTGTGAGATGTGAAGGCATTCTAATCTCTGGCAACTTCTACCGCAACAAGCGTGAGTAAAGTTTATCTATGGTACTTTTTTTTCAACATGTCTGTTGTCAGTGATGTTTTTACACTTATTTTCGAGTTTAATTGACCATGAGAATACTCTCACATGCACTACCATCTGAGACATCAGCACTGTGTAATTCAGATGTTTACTCTGACCTAATGTGAAAAGCACATGGCGTATTAAATCCTGTCTCACTAAATGTACATCTCTACAGTGAATTAGCTTGCTTTCCTGCGCAAGAGAATGAACACCAACCCCTCTCGTGGACCTTACCACTTCAGAGCACCCAGCAGGATCTTCTGGAGGACTGTTAGAGGTGAGTTTTGATAATTTTGGTTGTAGTTTAAATTTCAATCATTATTTCAATCAAGTACATCCTAAAAATCAACTGGAACACACAAATGGAACACAAATTTTTAAGGATATAATTAACAATTAGAAAATATTTTTTGCATTGGTTCAAACTGTCCTGATGTTGGGTTTATACTTGGGTATCGTTTGAAGTGCTTATGAAATATTTAAGTTCAAAATGAACTCTGCACTTTGCCACACCCAATACAACCTTTCTACACTGCCTTTGCATAATGTAGGTTTAGTTTAGCCCTGCATTTAGTGAAGATCCAAAAATGGCTTTTGTGTCACTGGTTGGTCCTTGACTGTTTGTTAATCTCAGGATAAAAATTATTGTCCTCAATAAACTAGGGTTCATGGTAAATTCAGTGTATGAAATATATCTCAAGCACAGTTTCTCTCTGACTCAACAGTGATGAGCACTTTATCCCGAAGCTGATCCTGTTTTGATGAACCTATTTATTTTACGGATCTGATTGCTGAGTTGAGTTGGAATTGTGTACACCTGTGCTTGGAAAAAGACAACTCAGTCACAGATGTTTTTTTAATTTTTTTTATTTTTAACCTAATGACATCTCATCACTGACCAGGCATGCTGCCCCACAAAACCAAGAGAGGACAGGCCGCCCTGGAGAGGCTGAAGGTTTTTGATGGCATCCCCCACCCTACGACAAGGTGATGGTTTTGAATAAATACCCAAGGCCACAAACTCCTATTAATTTTGTGGCCTGTTTAATGAGTTGAAGCTGAACATGGTTTCACCCGGCCTGTCAGTGATGACCTTATCAATTCCCTTACCACCTTGTTTGAATGAATACTGTGAAAAACAAAATGCCTGAGACATGCCATCTTATCATTGTGTAAGTAGTATTTAGCACCGTTCTTTGGCTGATGGATTTTTTTTTTGTTTGTTTGCTTGCCCCTCAAAGAGGAAGCGCATGGTTGTCCCAGCTGCACTTAAAGTTGTGCGCCTGAAGCCCACTTGCAAGGTGAGACTCATGGTTTGAATCAATAGAACCAAAGGAGTAAATTTGAATCAAAACGATGCTTCGTTTTTGTTTTCCACAACTGTTACTTAACGGTGATGAGCTTTTTATCCCGAAACTGATTTTATTTGATGAGACAGCCTATCATGGATCCGATTTCTGAGTTGAGTTCTAGAGCAGTTGTGTATTTAACTTGAAGCATTGGAATCTCTAATGGTTGGAGATAAATCACCTGCTTAAAGTTGTATTTTTCTTTTTTTTTCTTCCTCTCCCCCTCCCTCTGTAGTTTGCCCTCCTTGGTCGTCTGGCACACGAGGTTGGCTGGAAGTACCAGGCCATCACAGCCACCTTGGAGGAGAAGAGGAAGGCCAAGGCCAAACTGCGCTACAACAAGAAAAAGACTCTGGTCAAGCTGACAAAGCAGGCAGAGAAAAATGTGGAGGCCAAGGTTGCAAAGTACACAGATGTTCTGAAACAGTACGGAGTTCTTGTCTGAACTGATTCCTCTGGCCAATAAAGATAAATACATGTTTATAGAAAGTGTTTGGATGTTTTTATTCACAATTGACTGTTTAATGTGATAAAATACTGGAGCTTCAACCATGATTGAAAAATAAAATGTAGATAAGTAGTGAATTGTCATTTTGACACAGTGCACCACAATGAAATGCTTTGAACCCATCAATAAAGTGAGCAAGGGGGCAGCTGAAGTGCCAGTGTGTGGGGAAAATGCTGTTCTCAGAGCACCTCAGTGGTAACTTGGACTCAAACCTGAAACCCTCCAGACCCAGTCTGCTTCCTTAACCACCAACCCACCAGTGCCCCTAGATGACAATTGGACATCTAGGAGCACTGGAATGTTTCAGTATTAGATTGGCGCAAGTGTGTGTATACTATATGTACATGTGTATATGTGTCAGACAGTTTTCTAGTAAATTAAAGTTAATGTTAATGCTAAATTACGAGGAGGTTATAATGGTTACTCTTTGTACAGACGGCTGCTGAATATGTTTTCTACTGCATGGTAAAGCTACATACTTTATTAAAAATAATCGTTAGCTTCACTTCCAGTTCTGCCGTGCAATGTTTTTCCAGATTCAGTGTTTACGCAAAAAAGTTTGTTTCCATAGGAAATAGTAGAGTACGTTACATATCTGGATAGAAGGGAAAACATGAACAATTGGCCTCAAATTTTCACTCAATAAGTTTGGCCCGCGACGTTGGCCCCGTTTTTAATTTTGTCTCTGTGAATTACGTTTGACACCTCTGGGCTTTTCATGCTGTAATTGATACAATAAACCAGCAGAGGGCAGTAAATCACCTTTATATCGTAGGCTGTCTTTCAGCTCGCGATTGACATTTCAGTGGTACAGACGATTAAACGAGAGGAAACTCTTTACCATGTTGGCTCTTTAGATCATAAAGTTTATACTATAGTTGTTTTAATAACCAGTGGCCTTGATCCCAGATCTCGGTAATTCAGGTAATCCTGTTGAGAAATGATTCACATCATAAAGAATGTCTTTCGTTTTATTCTGAACAAATGGAAACGGTCTCAGCGGTGAAGCTGCACTTTTGTCCTGACCTAGATGTAGCTCCTACAGAGACGTCTGTTTTACACCGCCCGGCTGTTTTTAAAGAGATGCTGAGGTTTGAAGACAAGTCATGGCGTCTTTATTCACACAGTCCTCATGGAACTGTCCATGGTTCTGATGATGGCGCCTCCATTTTATATTAACTGACATGTAAAGGCCCTAATTTAGTGAAAAACGTCCTTCTAGTACACGCTACAGATCAATGTGGAGAACTGTTTCATAGTCTGGATTGAAATCCAATGGCTCACATGTTTCAACCCAGTTTGGAGGTAAAATGCTTGTGTTTTAAAAACATGAAAGCCAATATCTTACCTATTAAATTATCCATTAGTACGAAGTCCGACCACAGGGACAATAAATGCTCTCCTAATATTTTTGTCTCTTCCTGCTGCCATGATTAATCTAAAAAACGTGCAAGAAGAAGTTGGAAGTTGGCTTTTGTAGATAGCCAGGACATGAGAGGAAATAAAAGTGAAGGACTTTGTTGATTAAATTAGAGAGGCCATGTGTTGATGAGAGGTAGTGGATTTGTTGAGTTCTGGTTCCCAGCGATGGAGTTGGCAGGCAGGAGAAAAAGAAGAAGACCCAAGAGAAGATTGAAGTGTAGAGAAGGAGGAGAGTTGCTCGGTCCAACAGCTGAGGAGCAGCAGTTAGAGTGTGATGGAGACAGATGTTCATGACATTTGGTCATAAAGTCAGCGTCACACTCTTATAAAACCTACTCATAGCATTGGATTTGTTAGTTCCCATTCTTTTATTCACTCGATGAACACTTCCACTTTTAATTCTCTGAGACGTTCACACCTTCTCCATGAGTTCATTATCATCACGGAGGAAGAACTGAAGTCCCACAGTAGTAGATTTGTTACAAATATTTACTGGTGATTAAATTATATATATATGTTTTTCAGATATTCTTCTAAAACATTCCAACCAACACAAAGTAATGTTGTGAATCTCAAAATGTGCCACGCTGAGATGTAAGTCCACTTTATTCTTGAGTGGAATTTGAAAAATTCTGTGGGGAATTCAGAGAGTGATGGAGTTGCTGCTGCACACAGTTATTTTGTTGCTGCTGTGAGAGGGGTTTAATTTTGGAGAGGAAGGAGGAGGACGAGGAGGAGGAGGAAGAGGAGGAGGAGGAGGAGGAAAACGTACATGGCTGTGTTTGAAGAAGTTTGGGAGGCAGCCTCATGTGACATAGTATTTGGTTGTTTGTCACACAGCTGCTGTTTGAGGGAAACTTTAGAAATCGCAACTTGCAGCTCGTCTGATGTTTTACAGCTGTTGAAAAAACAAAACAAAAAAAACAAGTAATTTGTTTAATCTGTACAACACTTTCCTTCATGAAGGAAAAAACATTTTGTTTTGTTGATGTTGGTGAGTGTAAATTCTTCAGAATAAAAAGTCAATTAAAGGATTTTCTAGTCTGTATGCCAGTGTGTCCCTGGGCTGACAATGTGTACATAACATTTGGAAAACCAAAGATGTTTTATAGAATAATGGTAATTTATGTTCACGTTAATTTATACTAAAAGCCAGACACAAATAGCAGTAATTAAGGTAAATATTTAAGCCAAGAAACAAACTGTATTAACACAACTGCTAATGGCCATATAATTATGCAAATATTACTGCTAAAAGACAAGTAGCATATGTATAAAAAAGATAACTTGAAGTTTATCCAGGAATAGCTAAAATTGTTACCAGTTAGCAAAGGTTAACGTAATTTATACAAAGGTTATCTTAAACCACAACTCAACTTCATTGAAAGAGTCAAAACCAATAAAAGAAAAAGTTTTGATGAAAAATAAAATATTACTATAAACACATTTAACTTAATAAATAATTTCCAGTTACACGTACGGAAATATTAGTAAAAGACAACTACAGAAATACTAAAAAAAGTTATGTCTTCTAAAACTGCTAAAAGTTAGCCAAGCATAGCTAAAAGTTAGCCAAGCAGCATAAAGTTATGGACGGTGCAGACAGTGTGGGCCACATTAAAGCTGTCCCTGTTCTTTGATGCCTTTATTTAAATGCTGGAACCCAATCACTGGAAGACTCCCAGGTGTTGAGGTTGCGGCTGTCATTCCGGCTACAACCACACGGACGTGGGATCAGTGGTAATCTCGGGTCCTTCAGGGATTAAATGTTCATCTGTGGGTTCTGTAGAATATATGTCTTTTTGTGTGCTGATAAAGAAACGGTGCCAAGCCTCCTGATACCTCGCACACTCCATGTGCTGTAAACACAGATGCCCTCTTCCCAAAAAGCAGGTCCCACTCAGGATCAGGCAGGAGGCCAATCTGCCGCCTGTCTCCGCGGGTTATAGAGAGGATGTCATTTCTTCAGCAAACAGATGGAGAAACCACTGCCGCGGCTCCAACCTCATCTTTTTTGGATAATTGTGCCTGCAGTTGGTCGTCCTCTAATCGCAGCATCTGAGACCGATTTAAAAAGACTATGAATGTCTGGATATTGCTCCTGAAGGGCCGGTCTATTTTCAGACACAACAATTATTACTCCCCCTCCTCTCCTCACCCCGCCTCCCATTCTCCCCTCTTCTTCTTCAGCACGTCCCTCATTTTTTAGTTTTAGAGTTAAGTCTCACACAGGGAACCATCATCTGGGATATGGATAGGATTTCAGTGTCGTTAAAAGGCATTTCCTGGACTTTCCCTGTTTTCAGCCCATGTCCATTCACTACTGAGAACAAAATCAGGAACATGATTGAGTACAAAGAACCAGCATTCCTAAATCAATACCTTTAAAAAAAAACAACTCCCACAGTAATTGAGTTCCATTACTCAGTGATTACTTGTCCGTGCGCTCAGGTTATTACTTTTCATTGGTTTCCTCAGAATCGCTTTGTGAAAATCCAAATGTTCGGGGCCCACAGAACATGTTTCCTTATAATTCGAAGAAAAGTTGCTTACTCGTAACTTGGAAAACTCATATTTCCGGTAGCTCGTATCTTGAAGTCCCACCGTGTCCATGTACCGGGCGTCCTCGGTTTACATCGCCCTCAACCGTTTTGTGGTTACGTCGCCATCTCCCATAAATTTATTAACAAAGTCTTGTTCCATCATTCTGGCGTACGATGTTAAAACTTCCCAGTTAGTTCGCACAAACTCTTTGACGAGGAGAGTGGACAAACACGTCGTCAAGCTATACGCAGATGACAGCTTTGTTTACGTTCAAGCTATACGCAGATGACAGCTTTGTTTGCGTTCGCCTATATATATATATATCTATAGAAACCCCTGTATGAGTTGCTGCCACCTAGTGACTGAAGGCTTGTTATTATTCATGCATTACAACAGTGCCACTCTGCCACCTAGTGACTAAAGGCTTGTTATTTTTCATGCATTACAACAGTGTCACTTATGTCCATATGCGTGCCATAGTCCATTTGAAGCCCCTCACGCCCCTCCTGGCACCTCACCGTGAACCCCCCAGGGGGGCCCGCCCCACTGTTTGAGAAGTACTGGCAACTAGGTACTCGATGACCCCTGTATTTTTAATCAGAGATATGTTAAAGTGATAATGTCATTTTTAATACTATTGTTAACAATGTTTAGCTAACCTATGACTATTTTATTTATTTATCCTTAAAGAATTTACTTTTTTCTAAACAATTTTACAAACAATTTTACAATTAAACAACTTTTTTATCCTCATCATTAAATTTCTTTATTTTCTTTATGAAACACAGACAAGGTTTAAATTACACAGCTAGTTTATGTCTTCACTTAACATCTGCTGCTATAGGCATAGACGGCTGGGGGAACTCCCATAATGCACCGAGCGCTCTCTCTTCCACTAAAATGTTACACATTGCATTTTATTAATAAAACGTCCAACACTGTCCTTTAGCCTCTCTGGAACCATAGGCTGCTGAATCAGAGCTTTGGTTCTCCTTCACATCACTGGCACCATTGG